ATGGTTTGTGCAAGTATGTATGCAATCGTCATGGTTTATGGCAAGCATGTAAGCAATCATCATGGTTCGTGTAAGCATGTAGCAATCTAGTTATCATATGTGTAAGCATGTAAGTACACTCATCATGGTTTGTGCATGTATGTAAGCACTAGTCATCGTATGTGTAAGTATGCAATCACACATCATGGTTTGTGTAAGTATGTAAGTACTCAAACATTGTTTGTGTAAGCATGTAAGCACTCGTCATGGTTTTGTGTGGCATGTAAGTACTCAGTAATGGTTTGTAAGCATGTTAGCACCTTCATTGTTTGTGTAAGTATGTAAGCACTCGTCATGGTTTGTGTAAAAATGTAAACACTCATGATGGTTCGTGTAGGTATGTAAGCACTCGTCATGGTTTATGTAAATATGCAAGCACTCGTCATGGTTTGTGTAAGTATGTAAGCACTCGTCATGGTTTGTGTCACTATGTAAGCACACGTCATGGTTTGTGTAAGTATGTAATCACTAGTCATGGTATGTGTAAGTATGTAAGCACTCCTCATCGTATGTTTATGTATGTAAGCACTCGTCATGGTTTGTGTAAGTATGTAAGTACCAGTCATGGTTTGTGTAAGTATGTAAGCACTCGTCATGGTTTGTGTAAGTATGTAAGCACTCGTCATGGTTTTGGTAAGTATGTTAGCACTCGTCATGGTTTGTGCAAGTATGTAAGCACTCGTCATGGTTTGTGTAAGTATGTAAGCACTAGTTATCATATGTGTAAGTATGTCAGTAGTCGCCATGGTTTGTGTAAGTGTGTGGCAAGCACTCATCATGGTTTGTGTAAGTATGTGAGCACTAGTTATCGTATGTGTAAGTATGCAATCACACATCATGGTTTGTGTAAGTATGTAAGTACTCGTCATGGTTTGTGTAAGTATGTAAGTACTAGTGATGGTTTGTGTAAGTATGTAAGTACTAGACATGGCTTGTGTAAGTATGTAAGTAATCGTCATGGTTTGTGGAAGTATGTAAGCACACGTCATGGTTTGTGGAAGTATGTAATCACTAGTCATGGTTTGTGGAAGTATGTAAGCACTCGTCATGGTTTGTGTAAGTATGTAAGCACTAGTCATGGTTTTTGTTGTTTGTAAGCACACGTCATGGTTTGTGGAAGTATGTAAGCACTCGTCATGGTTTGTGTAAGTATGTAATCACTAGTCATGGTTTGTGGAAGTATGTAAGCACTCGTCATGGTTTGTGTAAGTATGTAAGCACTAGTCATGGTTTTTGTTGTTTGTAAGCACACGTCATGGTTTGTGGAAGTATGTAATCACTCGTCATGGTTTGTGTAAGTATGTAAGCATTTATGATGATTTGTTTTGTATGTAAGCACTTGTCATGGTTTGTGTAAGTATGTAAGTAGCAGTCATGGTTTGTGTAAGTATGTAAGCACTCGTCATGGTTTGTGCAAGTATGTGAGCACTAGTTATCGTATGTGTAAGTATGCAATCACACATCATGGTTTGTGTAAGTATGTAAGTACTAGTCATGGTTTATGTAAGTATGTAAGTACTAGTCTTGGTTTGTGTAAGTATTTAAGCACTCGTCATTGTTTATGTAAACACTAGTCATGCTTTGTGTAAGTATGTAAGATCTAGTCATGGTTTGTGTATGTATATAAGCACTCGTCATGGTTTGTGTAAGTATTTAAGCACTCGTCATTAGCTGTGTAAGTATGTAAGCATTCGTCATGATTCGTGTAAGTATGTAAGTACTAAACATTGTTTGTGTAAGTATGTAAGCACTCGTCATGGTTTTGTGTAAGTATGTAAGTACTAGTAATGGTTTGTGTAAGTATGTAAGCACTCTTCATTGTTTGTGTAAGTATGTAAGCACTCGTCATGGTTTGTGTAAAAATGTAAACACTCATGATGGTTCGTGTAGGTATGTAAGCGCTCGTCATGGTTTATGTAAATATGCAAGCACTCGTCATGGTTTGTGTAAGTATGTAAGCACTCGTCATGGTTTGTGTTGTATGTAAGCACACGTCATGGTTTGTGTAAGTATGTAAGCAATCGTCATGGTTTGTGTAAGTATGTAAGCACTAGTTATCGTATGTGTAAGTATGCAATCACACATCATTGTTTGTGTAAGTATGTAAGTACTCGTCATGGTTTGTGTAAGTATGTAAGTACTAGTGATGGTTTGTGTAAGTATGTAAGTACTAGACATGGCTTGTGGAAGTATGTAGGTAATCGTCATGGTTTGTGTAAGTATGTAAGCACACGTCATGGTTTGTGGAAGTATGTAATCACTAGTCATCGTTTGTGGAAGTATGTAATCACTCGTCATGGTTTGTGTAAGTATGTAAGCATTTATGATGATTTGTTTTGTATGTAAGCACTTGTCATGGTTTGTGTAAGTATGTAAGTAGCAGTCATGGTTTGTGTAAGTATGTAAGCACTCATCATGGTTTGTGCAAGTATGTATGCAATCGTCATGGTTTATGCAAGTATGTAAGCAATCATCATGGTTTGTGTAAGTATGTAAGCACTAGTTATCATATGTGTAAGTATGTAAGTACTCATCATGGTTTGTGTATGTATGTAAGCACTAGTCATCGTATGTGTAAGTATGCAATCACACATCATGGTTTGTGTAAGTATGTAAGTACTAGTCATGGTTTATGTAAGTATGTAAGTACTAGTCTTGGTCTGTGTAAGTATGTAAGCACTAGTCATGGTTTGTGTAAGTATTTAAGCACTCGTCATTGTTTGTGTAAGTATGTAAGCACTCGTCATGGTTTATGTAAACACTAGTCATGCTTTGTGTAAGTATGTAAGATCTAGTCATGGTTTGTGTAAGTATATAAGCACTCGTCATGGTTTGTGTAGGTATTTAAGCACTCGTCATTAGCTGTGTAAGTATGTAAACATTCGTCATGATTCGTGTAAGTATGTAAGTACTAAACATTGTTTGTGTAAGTATGTAAACACTCGTCATGGTTTTGTGTAAGTATGTAAGTACTAGTAATGGTTTGTGTAAGTATGTAAGCACTCTTCATTGTTTGTGTAAGTATGTAAGCACTCGTCATGGTTTGTGTAAAAATGTAAACACTCATGATGGTTCGTGTAGGTATGTAAGCACTCGTCATGGTTTATGTAAATATGCAAGCACTCGTCATGGTTTGTGTAAGTATGTAAGCACTCGTCATGGTTTGTGTTGTATGTAAGCACACGTCATGGTTTGTGTAAGTATGTAAGCAATCGTCATGGTTTGTGTAAGTATGTAAGTACTAGTCATGGTTTGTGTAAGTATGTAAGCAATCGTCATGGTTTGTGTAATTATGTAAGAAATCGTAATGGTTTGTGTAAGTATGTAATCACTAGTCATGGTTTGTGTAAGTATGTAAGCACTCATGATGATTTGTGTAAGTATGTAAGCACTCATCATGGTTTGTGTAAGTATGTAGTACTTGTCATGGTTTTATGTAAGTACTAGTCATGGTTTATGTAAGTATGTAAGTACTCGTCATGGTTTGTGTAAGTATGTAAGCACTCATCATGGTTTGTGTAAGTATATAAGTACTAGCAATGGTTTATGTAACTATGTAATCACTAGTCATGGTTTATGTAAGTATGTAAGCACTCTTCATTGTTTGTGTAAGTATGTAAGCACTCGTCATGGTTTGTGTAAGTATGTAAGTACTAGTCATGGTTTGAGTAAGTTTGTATGCACTCTTCATTGTTTGTGTAAGTATGTAACCACTCGTCATGCTTTGTGTAAGTATGTAAGTACTAGTCATGGTTTGAGTAAGTTTGTAAGCATTCGTCATGATTTGTGTAAGTATGTAATGACTAGTCATGGTTTGTATAAGTATGTAAGCTCTCGTCATGGTTTATGTAAGTATGTAAGCACTCGTCATGGTTTGTGTAAGTATGTAAGCATATGTCATATTGTGTCTAAGTATGTAAGATCGTTATGATGTATGGATACGTGTGAAGTGTTCATGTTGTGTCTAAGTATGTAAGATCTTAATGATGTATGGAAACATGCTAAGTTTATAAGATCTTATCGATGACACTGTCTAGGTTTTACTGATCATCACACCCCATTGCAAGATTCTACTATAGCTGAAAATGACCGCTATGATTTTGTTTGTCTATTGTTTTACGCCGCACTCAGCAATATTCCAGCTATATGGCGGCCGTCTATAAATATTCATGTCTGGACCAGGCAATCCAGTGATCACCATCATGAACATCGATCCACGCAACTGGAATACGATGACATGTGTCAACCACGTCAGCGAGTATGTCCACACGATCCCGTTAATCGCCTCTTACGACAAGCATGGGTTGCTGAAGATCCATTTGAACCCGGATCTTGACCGCTTTGGAATAGATGTAAGATTTGAGGTCCAACAGCCGGGCGAGATGACAGGGGTTCCCCGTATCGCATTATGGATATTTAGGTGAAAGTACACGCTGTTGCGGTCGAACCCTACTTCATCCCCAATGACGATACAAAAAGACGTCATCGTGGCAGGGTCGTTGATGTGTGCTTCATAAAAGCAAGTGACCATTTTCTGCATATAGTGACCATTTTGGTTGCTACATGTCAACCCCATCGAACATACATTGAACGAACTAAATACCTCTCTCTGTCTACGTCACGCCATTGATGCAGCTCTTCGTGACTTTGGCAATGCTCTAACATAAGAGTGGAATAATTCGTTCGTTATATCTGTCAGTTCACGAGAATCATGTTCGTTATACAGTAGTTACCGTATAATGAACCCTAGCAAACTTTAATTTGTATATAATATTCACTACGTTATTCAGTAGTTCTTTGAAAGATGGGGAGGTGTCTAACACACCTTTAGGTTAAAGCGGCTGTTTCCTCACGCTGAAGACCTGGGTTCGATTCCCCACATGGTTAAAATGGGTGAAGCCCATTTCCGTGTCTCCCGTCGTGATATTGCCGCCGGAATAAAAGTAGCTAAACTCACTCACTAAAACTTAATTCGCAGGCACAGAGGATTTAGCTAGGGGGAAGGAAGCTTCTAGTATTGTCATGACGGACGGTGATAGGAAGACGTGTGCAACCTACAGAGCATCCAGTGGCACCACCAGTTCCCTAACAGTCACCCTCTCCAGCGACAGCAATATCTACTACAACGTGCACGAAGTGGAGCTTGACTTGCAGATCTACACAACTGCAGCCATTTCTTCCAACTTGAATGAAGGTAGGCGTTCTTCAAATAATTTTAAAAAATAATTTGAACGATGTGAAATGAAGATTTTCCTCTATTCGGAGACAGAGTATGTTTTCAAGTCGACTCATTACATCACTGTGTGTAGGCTCAAGGGGGTCACGCCCAGAATGTTGCTGACACTGGGAAGACAACTGAATTAGTAACATGGTCGAACTCATTGACCACCAATACAGGTGAATTACGGAGGATGAAAATGCTGTTTCATTTTGGTTTCAGGTGTAGAGCTGCAGGTCTTTGTGCAAACTACTTCTTCATCCGTGTTGTGCAAGCGTTTGGGTGTCTACGATTCTGGCGCGTACAGGTTCACATGCGCGACTGAGGAAGTCGGCTGGTCAAAGATGAAGATAAATCTACTGCATCGTGATAAGAGATTTCAAACTAAAGTCTGTGAAATTCAGGTGTACGGCAGCCGATACACAGGTGGGGACGCAGTTTTGGGGCCCATGTCTATGCGTACGCACCTACCCACGCACGCACACTCATGCGTGCATATGAATCCACATCAGCACTAAACCCTTTTTGGCGTAAACGATTCAGTGAAAGTACGCATTGATGTATGAATGATATGTAAGGAGTAAGGAATGGCATTTGAGTTAAGAGGATTGGCGGAATATCTGACAAATTCAAATAGGCTATATCTATTAAACGCTGTTTTTTTCAAAGATAATGTTTTGAAGCGATATTCCTGGAATATTGCTAAAAGTGGCGTAAAACCTGACTCATCTCGCTCGCTCACCCAATCACCCCCAAGATGATGAGGTAATGAGTCAAGTCAAAACATTGATTGCATAACGGTCTTGTTTCCTGCTGACTGGGTTCCGTCCTTTTTGCACAACTTACAATAACCAGTACAATAACCAGTGAAGAATGTTGAGACCAATTCATTCAACTGGATATTTAGATATTAATTAGTATTACTTGTTACATCTAATCACTTGTATACTGCACCACTACGTTCCTTCTAATCCTTGCAAACACGTGGCGCAGCGTGCTTGGTCGTACAGCGTGATTTGACAACACGGAAATCTGGAAATCGTGGAAATCTCAAAACGAGGCTCGGTCGCTAGAAATATTTGGCGGTCTTATATGGCCTTGATATTATATCAATCACATTGTACGTTATAATAGTACACTCGATGAGTGCAAAGAATGCATAACAGGTGTAACCAGTGAGCCAGATGAATTGTGAATCATTTTACGACCTCATCAAACAGGGGCAGTCTGTCACGTCTTAGTTAACGACATGCTGTCTTAAACCTCGTCATAAAATATAGAAATACTATTTTTTTTAGATTTAAAATTATAATTGATTTGTAAATACCATTTTCTTATGAAACAAGGAACTTGAATTTTGTGTAACCACAGTTGTTTGTAGTGTCTCTTTTCACTTACACACGTGAAAATACGGATCGGCTGAAAAATAGGTCATTTTCTGAATTGGTTCATGAGACTCATGTTTCGGTTTGCTTCCTGAAACCATGGTAAGGGTCCCGTTCCACAAAACGATCCTAGATAATCGTAACTCCCATACCTTAACCATGCCTGTCGTAAGAGGCGAATAACGGGATCGGGTGGCCAGGCTTGCGGACACATGTCATCGTTTCCCCATTGCGTGGATCAATGCTCATTTTGTTGATCCCTGGATTGTCTGGTTCAGACTGGATTATTTACAGACCGCCGCCATATAGCTGGAATACTGCTGAGCGCATCATTAAACAACAACCAACCAACCCATACCTTAACACGTTCTAACGGTAACCGTAGCATTAAAACTTTTTCTTGAACAGTGCCCAGCTAAATTGATTTTTGGAACGACTTCACCTAAAATGACTTGTGATGTGATTGATAATTACACTCTGCAAATAAATAGAAACGCACGGGCGTTTTCAGCAGCCCATTTGATTATATTTTGACAGGAGTCATCATTAAGACAGTTCCTATGTTTAACTCCCTTTAATCATGTCGTGATTGCAGTGTATTGCCCGCAAACGCATCCCAAAATGTGTTTGTAAAAGTTTGTCATAAAATGTGAAAATGATACATGAAAAGTGCGTGCAGGAAAAATGTTTCACCTAATGCACGTCCAGTGTGTCGGAAACATGAGTAGAGACATCTACTTCAAATGTCCAAACGAAATTCATCATTTCATTTCGACGGAAACAAAGATATAAACTTCCAAGATTGAATGCTACTGACTGAAATATTGGACGTTTGGAAGCAGGGGAGTCACAGGCTGCCGTTGCAAGACACTTCAACGACCACAAGCGCCATATCTCGATTATGGCATCTATATGCCCGCATCAATTCCATCCAAGATCGTCCCAGAAGTGGAAGCCCAACAGTGACCACTCCTGCTCAGACCGATCCATCCGGGTGTGTCACCTTGCTACAGCAACGGACACTGCAAGACAGATGCCTGGTCTTCGAAGATTTCCTACCAAACATCAGGAATCTTCTGATAAAAGTAGGAATACGAGTATATCGACCAAAACCTGACATGACTACATCGACAACGACGTGTCTAATGATGCAACAAGGTACAAGCGACGCGTTTGGTTCAGCGATGGATCGCATTTCCTCTTGCAACGACGGGATTTGAGACAACGTGTTTATCGACGTTGACACGAACGTTTTGCGCCGAATTGCGTTCGACAGGTGGACAGATTTGGTGGAGAAGCGTCGTGATGTGGGGAGCCATGTCCTACACGGGTAGATCCGAGCTAGCGGTGGTTCAAGGCAGTCTTACAGCAAATTGCTTCATCGACTTAATCGTCACATTCTCCGACATTTTAACCGACAGACGGAGCTGTTTCAACACGACAACACTTGATCCCACACCGTAACCGGTATAACAGTGTAACCGGTGCTTATCTCTCCAATGCATATGTCCTTCCCTAGCCTTCTCTATCGCATGATCTGAACCCGATCGAGCATCTATGGGGCGAAACTGAACCAAGCGTCCACAAACGTCATCAGCAGCCTCAGACACTTGCAGAATGCGTTGCAGGAGGAATGCCGAAGAATTCCTCAAGCAAAATTCGACGACTTGTGCAATCCCTCCCAAGGAGGAGTCGAGCAGTGACTCCTGCAAGCGGTGGCGTCACCAGGTACTGACACGAACGCTCCCGTGTGTCCACACATGTGCAGTGAGTGAACTGAATTAATGCTGACAATGGCAGAAATACATATGTTCATACATGTGTCGAATGTCCTTCATCTGTGTTCTAGCATAAGTGACTTATGTACACTTAAATACATTTCCTTACGTTGGGCCTGTGCGTTTCTTTTTTTGAAGAGTCTACTTACATGTATTATTTCGACATTCCTTTGATTCTATTTGCACCAATCGTTACCCTGTGAGTGATATTAATCATTGTCATACATTTATTCATACATGGTCTATCGCTTCGGATATCTCGAAGTAGGTCCCTGTGTGTAGAGATACATAGTGTCATTATATACCTCCACACAGGCGAGTGTGAGAGACCCCCGATTGTGGTTGGAGCCCGGGCCAATTTTACAAGCACCTACTGGAATTCAACGGCTGTATACAGCTGCGTCCCTCCCTACCGCTATGCTGGAGGGAACCCTGTCATAACATGTCACTTCGGAGGATACTGGACTACCCCTTCTATTTTCTGTAAAGGTAGGATGTTTGTAGACATAGTGTCATGGTCGAAACGGTATTCAGCATTCTGTTCTACTTTGGAATTTCTAGTTCTGTGACAAACATTTATTCCATTTAGTGCCCAGTAACTCTCCATCAGTAGTGCTCAGCAATACACCATCCAACAGTGCCCAGTAACACACCATTCAATAGTGCCCAGTAACTCTCCAACCAATAGTGCCCAGTAATTCTCCATCTATAAGTGCCCAGTAACTCTCAATCTGTTAGTGCCAAGTAGCACACCATCCATTAGTACCAAGTAACTCTCCATCCATTAGTGCCCAGTAACACACCATCCATTAGTGCCCAGCAGCACACCATCCATTAGTACCAAGTAACTCTCCATCCAATAGTGTCCAGTAACTCGCCATCCATTACCGCCCAAAAATACACCACCACTGACAGCTCAGTAATGCACAATCCCAGAGTGCACAGTAACACGCCATGATATATTTAAGAAATACAGTTCACTCTCCTCCCATGTATATTGAAATAAAGCACACTTCTGCCCTCAGCTATTATAGCTAGAGTACGATGCCTTTAACGTTATACTAGTTCAGGGCAAAAGTGTGCTTTGTTTCACTGTTCAGGGGAGTAGAGCGTATTGTATTTCTTTTCTAAGATGCCAAATTAAATAATTACCGACAAAAAATTTGAGGTAAAACACAAACTAAAAATCGACGGTTTCGGTGACCGTAATTATCAATCCTCACAAGTAACACATGGCCAAGTAATTAATCCCTAGAGTGCTCAGTAACACACGAGCCTACATTTGTATATTGCCAGTAACTAACCATCCAATATTGCCAAATAACACACCATCCTATATTGCCTAGTAACACGCCATCCTATATTGCCCAGTAACTCACCATCCTATATTGCCCAGTAACTCACCATCCTATATTGCCTAGTAACTCACCATCATATATTGCCCAGTAACTTCTCCATCCACTAGTGCCCAGTGACTCTCCCTCCACTAGTGCCCAGTAACTCTCCATCCAATAGTGCCCAGTGACTCTCCATCAGATAGTGCCCAGTAACTCTCCATCTAATAGTGCCCAGTAACTCTCCATCCACTAGTGCCCAGTAACTCTCCATCTAATAGTGCCCAGTGACTCTCCATCCACTAGTGCCCAGTAACTCTCAATCCAATAGTGTCCAGTCACCCTCCATCTAATATTCCCCAGTAACTCTCCATCCAATAGTGCCCAGTAACTCTCCATCCAAAAAGTGCCCAGTAACTCTCCATCCATTAGTGCCCAGTAGCTCTCCATCCATTAGTGCCCAGTAACTCTCCATCCATTAGTGCCCAGTAACTCTCCATCCATTAGTGCCCAGTAGCTCTCCATCCTGTAGTGCCCAGTAACTCTCCATCCATTAGTGCCCAGTAGCTCTCAATCCATTAGTGCCCAGTAGCTCTCCTTCCATTAGTGCCCAGTAACTCGCCATCCTTTAGTGCCCAATAATACACCACCACTGACAGCTCAGTAATGCACCATCCCAGAGTGCACAGTAACACGCCATGATATATTTAAGAAATACAGTTCGCTCTACTCCCATGCATAGTGAAATAAAGCACACTTCTGCCCTGAGCTATTCTAGCTAAAGTACGATGACTTAAATGTTGTACTTGTTCAGGGCAAAAGTGTGCTTTATTGCATTATACATGGGTGTAGAGCGAATTGTATTTTTATTCTAAGATGCCAAATTAAATAACTGCCAGCGAATAATTTAAGGTAAAACACAAACTAAAAATCGACGGTTTCGGTGACCGTAATTATCAATCCTCCCAAAGTAACACATGGCCAAGTAATTAATCCCTAGAGTGCTCAGTAACACACGAGCCTACATTTGTATATTGCCAGTAACTCACCTTCCAATATTCCCGAGTAACTCACCATCCTATATGACCTAGTAACTCACTATCCTATTTTGTAAAGTAACACACCATCCCATATTGCCTAGTAACTAACCATCCTATATTGCCAATTAACTCACCATCAAATATCACCCAGTAACTCACCATCCTATGTTGCCCAGTAACTCTCTATCCTATATTGACCAGTAACACACCATCCAATATTACCCAGTAATACACCATCCATTTTTGCCAAGTCACATACCATCCAATATTACCCAGTAACTCACCATCCTATTTTGCCCAGTAACAGACCATCCAATATTACCCGTAACTTACAATCTGATATTGCCCAGTAACACACCATTCAATATTACCCATTAACACACCATCGAATTTTGCCGAGAAACACACCATCCAAATTTACCTAAATTATGAATCCTCCCAAGTAACACATGGCCAAGTAATTAATCCCTAGAGTGTTCAGTAAAACACGAGCCTACATTTGTATATTGCCAGTAACTCACCATCCAATATTCCCGAGTAACTCACCACCCTAAATGACCTAGTAACTCACCATCCTATTTTACCCAGTAACACACCATCCAATACTGCCCAGCGACACATCAACCTATATTGCCCAGTAACTCATCACCCTGTATTGCCCTGTAACTCACCATCTAATCGCGCCAATCAACACATCATCCTATATTGCCCAGTAACACATCATCACACAGTGTCCAGTAACACACCATAATAGCGTCCCCAGAAACACACAACCGAACAGTGCCCAGTAACTCACCATCCTATGTTGCCCAGTAACACATTACCCTTTATTGCCCAGTAACACACCATCTCATGGCGCCAAACAACACAGCATCCTATATTGCCTAGTTACACTAGTTACACATCATCACATCGTTACCAGCTAACACATTATAATAGCGTCCCCAGAAACACACCACCGAATAGTGCCCAGTAACTCACCATCCTATGTTGCCCAGTAACACATTACCCTTTATTGCCCAGTAACACACCATCTCATGGCGCCAAGCAACACAGCTTCCTATATTGCCTAGTTACACTAGTTACACATCATCACATCGTTACCAGCTAACACATTAAAATAGCGTCCCCAGAAACACACCGAATAGTGCCCAGTAACTCACCATCCTATGTTGCCCAGTAACACACCATCCTATGTTGCCCAGTAACACATCATCCTATATTGCCCAGTAACATATCATCCCATATTGCCCAGTAACTCATCGTCCTATATTGCCCAGTAACTCACCATCTCATGGCGCCAAGCAACACACCATCCTATTTGCCCAGTAATACATCATCACAGCGTTACCAGTAACACACCATAATAGCGTCACCAGTAACACACCATCGTACGCGTAATTATCTGTCTCGGTAGGATAAAGGACTTCCTCAAGAATACAAAACAATATCTTTCAGAAATGGAGAATCTGGCCCGACAAGCTGCGTCTCTACTGCCAGCTGTGATCGACGACGACAGAAGCACGTGTGATGACGTTGATGAGATAGAGCTGAACCTGATGACTCGTAGCGAGGTGCAATGGATCGTCGTATCTACAAGTCGTAAGTGGTTAGGGCCAAGTAATTAACGTTTGTTGTAATTACTTACTAATTACTGTTTGGGTTCAGCTACGTGTGTAGGTATGTGTGTGTTTGTACGTGTCCGTGTGTGTGCGTGTTACTGTATGGTGTGTGTATATGTGCTATTGTGCTACGGTTGGTTTTAAAGTGGAACAGAATTGAAACCCTTGGTTGTGCCAGGATCCGCTAATAATAGTCAAGTCCACTTGATTCGCCGTGATATTGAGCATATTGGTGTAATTCTTACTAACGCTTACAATTGTGTGACGCCTGACATTATCTTTCTGGAACAACTCCCCTGGCTGTCAATGATCGGAAACATGGGGACCCATATGATATCGTCTCTGTATCAAATAGCAGCTAAATTGGCCTGAATGCACACAATTTACATATTACGTGTAGGATATGGCTCCTCACATCATGACCCCTCCACCACCATATCGGTCAACCTGGGCGACACAAATCTGGGCAAAACGTTCATTTCGACGTCAATAGACATGTGCTCTTCCGTCACGACACTGAAGCAGAAAGCGTTATTCATCACTGAACCATACATGTCGATAGATTCCAGAATCGAACGTTACTGCACTACTGGACCCGTCGACGTGAAGGTAGTCGTCGCAGCACAGAGCCAAAATGCGGTCTTGCTTTTTGATGTCCAGCTTTTCGTATACGATTACGAATGGTTTGAGCCGTCACTCTCGTCAAACCGGGCACCGCACTTGCAGTTGCTGTGACAGTTCGATCCCGCGTTGCAGTGATAATACTGCGTATACCACTTCGAGGCTGATCTTGCGTAGAACTGGATTGTTGATATCGGTCCCATAAACGTCTGATGGTACTCTGGTGACAATTGAGGTGGCGAGCAACGGTAGACTGTGACTCCCCAGCCTTCAGACGTCCAATGTACCCGTGAAGGTCCGAGTTAGAATATTGATCTTCAGTAACCCATGCTTGTTGTAAGAGGCAACTAACGGGATTGGGTGGTCAGGCTCGCTGACTTGGTTGACACATGTCATAGGTTCCCAATTGCGCAGAACGATGCTCATGCTGTTGACTACTGGATTGCCTGGTCCAGACTCGATTATTTACAGAGCGCTGCCATATAGCTGGAATATCGCTGAGTGCCGCGTAAAACTAAACTCACTCACTCGCTGAAACAAGTGGCCAAAATGTTTCCAAAAGATGTGTGCTAGATGTGGGTGGAACTTATTTTTGTGCGCGTAGTGTTGTAGTCTATTTAGGATAGACCATTTGATATTGAGATTATCTTGAAAGGACAGTTCATCGTTCTCGCAGTACTTTTAATTGGCGCAACAGTTGAAATGTACACGCGTAGGTCAGAACGTCAAAACGTCAGAACGTCAGAACTTCAGAACGCCATTCAGATCTTCAGAACTTCAGAACGTCAGAACGTCAGAACGCAGAAAGACGAGAACAGTAGATCTCAAGAACTTGAAAGGCCGGAACGTGAAAACTCCTGAGAGCGATAACACGGAATTACATTTTTTTATGATCGTGAAATCATCCATTCCAGTATTTAATATTTTTTTTGTTTATTTTGCAGTAGAGAACTCAGACATGTCTGTGACGCTGACGATCAGTGGCAGCAAGACGTCCAAAACCTGCCTGAGGATCTACCCTTCGGCGTCAATGGAAGGATACGATATGACAGCGTTCATATGTCAAGGATACCCGTTTGCAGACACGGTGAACGTCACAGGAGGATCTTCAAACCCAGTTTGTGAGATCGAAGTGTATGGACGAAGTGCATCACAAGGTGGTATGTGGGACACAAACGTTCTTTCTGTTCTTTCTGTCGACAGTTCCCGACGCCAAAGAGATTTTTATAACCTGTATATCAATGTTTAGCAGGAATCAGAAAAAAAGTCGATAGATGTTTTTAAAATTTCCTAGCTCCAAACAATTTTTTTGTTCAAATTCAAATGCACATCGTGGTGTTTTACAACCTGTATTTTTGTCTTTGCCATGATCTAAGAACTGAAACTTGCCAGAGTGAGTTATTCTTGCCGTTGGTTGGCTATGATTTTGATGGCGTTGATGAATAAAAAGAAAGGTATTCAAGCAACGGTATAAGAATCTATACCGAAACATCGCATCATAACAAAATTAAGTTGTTATCCATAAAGTATCATATCTTTCTTATGATTTGAATTGTCTGGAGATGTTGCTATTAAGGAGGTTAATCTGATCTTTGATCTATTTCATGAAAAATGTGTGAGGTAACCGTATTACAGAACGAATTACTAAAACAAAATTTTCGATGAACTTTAAGAGCTCCAGCATTCAATATTTCTTTCTACCGGGTACCCGTCAACAGACACAACTTTCAACTTTCACCTCCTCGGAGCCTGTCTTTGTGTAACATGTCTATTGCATGACAAGGATCCAGAAACAGCGGATGACTCACAGGTTCTGAGCCTCACATAGAATGAATTGACAAGTTATTGACAAGTGCCACACTTGAAAGACAATGAATGCACGTTTGTGTCTCAAGTTTGTCTATTTCTTATACTCTCGTTTTTTCTGACTTGTAACAGCAAAACGATTTGCTCAACTGGCTGAAGACTTTGTGAAGGTAATAATAATCCAAGCTGCCTGTTAGGCGCTAGAAGGTGAACAGTCATTTGACGTATCCCACCGGGTACCCGTTCACTGCATTCATACAAACCTCCCTCCTGTGGGACCACATGTATCACGTGTGCTTGGTTGTGGGGCAGGACTGAAGTCCAAGGAACTATCAGGAGCCAAGCTGCCAAACACGGTCACCTGTCCAAGGACTGTCCGCGACCTCTGTGACATAATTTAATGTCCACAAATGATTTCACTGTTATACATTTTCTTCTATGTGAGGCGTGGAGCATTTTAACCCTCGTACACAAAACCATAATAATGATAATAATAAGATCAGGCCTACACCTTTCTTGGAATGCAAGTTCGAGACAAGCTCCAGAATGCCCAGATTCAAGACAAACTTCGGGCCGAGTATAAAGCTCGCTTAAAGAAATTCTGGAGCTCAGAGCTTAATGCTCGAAACAAGGTTAAAGCCACCAATACTTTGGCTGTGCCAGTCTTTCCCTTGTCTGAAAACACAGCTCACCACCCTCGTTCCTCTCTTAATCGTTTATATATGCCAATCAATTCTGGAGGTCGGGGTTTGATTAATGTGGAGGCTCTTCATGATAGAATTGTTTTGTGTACTTTTGCACATATGTATTTATCAGATGATCCTCTGGTGATGCATGTCAAGACTCATGATGAAAACAAGCAATTCCACAGCTATTTTAAGCGTGCCAAGGCTGGTGGACAGAATCTGAAACTTGAGGTTGATTTTGTTAATGGCAATGTACTGCTGGACGGTACAGTGATGGGAGTAAACCAGGTGAAGTCCTTCACCAAATCTGCTCAGAGTGGGTCGTTTGTGGAGAAACATTCTGAGACACCACTGCATCGTGTATATATGTAGTGTGTGGAACAGAATAGCAATCCAACCGTCTCCTTCGCCTGGATGAAGTCGGCTGGTGTCAAGTGCAAAACTGAGGGCTTCCTTTTGCTGCTCAGGACCAGTTACTTCCCACTCGTAATCGCATAAAAAATGTGATTCTTTAAGAAAATATTAACATGAAATGTGTTGAAGTGCAATGAATTTTCAGAGACTGTCCAACACTTTGTCAGTGGGTGCCCTTCCTTGGCACAAACAGCATATCTTAAACGATATGATGGCATGGCTCGTCTTCGCCATGCTCCTGGCTTTGACTCCGAGGTCCATCCATGGTACGACCCTGAACATGTCCAGGGCGTCATGGAAGATGATGCTTTCAAACGTCTGTGGAATAGGCCCATGTACAGCCTCAGAAGAATTCTGTCAACAAACCTGATCTTGTGCTTTTTGACAAAGCCAATGAATTCATTTTTATCATTGAATGTTATGTCCCTTTTGACAGCAACGTGATTGGCGAGATTCCGGAAATGTGCTAAATATGCGACCATCTTGCCTTTGAAATGTCTCGCTGGCATCCCAAGTACACTGTCGTCAGACTCCCCATTGTTCTCGGTGCCCTTGGTTTGGTACCTCCTGATCTCTTGGCGCAGATCAGGAGAGTGCCCGAGGTCTCCATTGACACTGCAGAAGGCTGCAATGTTGGGGAGTCTACATATTCTCCGGAAAGTTCTTGTTGTGTTCGACTAGGCATCGCTTCCTTGGAGAAGTCCCGTTCACTGTCTGGGCTGCGTGTAGAGGGGGCTGATGATGAGCCCTACCAACATGACTGTGCCAGGATCACCCTAACCCTCTCTGCTGCATACTATCTGTAATCTGTAAAGCATAATAATCATGCGCTTTTCTCCATGTACAATGCATGCGCCCAAACAATCTGATTATAATTACCCCGGATAACCCAAGCTGCCTGTGAGGCGCCAGAAGGTAAGCCGTTACATGTCTCATCCCACCATATAGCTAACCATGATCACATTCACTCAATGTTAGCACTGATGTTCAATGTCAGGATGTAATTTTTTTTATCGGATATAACAACCATATACCAACTTCTAGCTCTGCAGTGCAAACAGCAAGACAATGGACGCGACTACAAAGGCGACTTGAACTTCACCGTCACGGGCAAGCCTTGCATCGTCTGGCCGGACATTGGCTACTCAATCGAAAACTTCCCAGATTACTCCTTCCAGGAAATCGGCAGCAAATGCCGGGCACCTTCAACGACAGCCTACTACCCGTTCTGTTACATATCACCTTCTCAGATCGAATACTGCCCCATACAACTTTGCGGTAATATACAGATTAGATAATATCTTTAACTACCTAAATACAAAGTTTATCAGTTCGATTCCCGTTTTATGAATACACAATGCAATTTAGAAAGTGGTCGAATGTACATGTAACGCATGGTATATTTGGGATTACACTCTCTCAGTAGAGTACAGATTCTCGTACTTTTGTTGGGCTGATTCCTTTCCGGGATTGTGAAAGCCGTGGTGACCAATGTTTGGCAGTGCTTTAGTACCTCTAACATTAGCTAACATATGACAGAGTTCAAGTATATGAAAGGGTATGTCTTAACCTTTCCGTGTGTATATATGAATGATAATGCTATCAGTTTTAAATAAAACACAATTATTGCCCTTTGGTACTCGCAGACAGCGTGTGTCGTCAAGGAGATGGTAGAACCTACTCTGGAAGAATCGGTAAAGCTAATGGTACGTCCTGCGGCCACTGGAACTCTCTAGCTCTTAATGAATTGGTCTTCACTGGCATAGATTCGGGCGCAGCCAGCTCTTACTGCAGGAACCCACTTGGTTCCATGTCAAGACCGTGGTGCTACAAGGAAACGGGGGCCCCTTCCTTGTGTTCCATCCCTATTTGTCGTGAGTTTTCAAATATCGATAAATCCGGAATCTGATTTAATTTACGATACACAGTAATCTGGGGACACGTTTGATACAATTGAATCTGATGTAAAATACAATACAATGGAATCTGATTTTGGTATTTCGTATGAGGGATCAAACCTTGTTATATCACTTGACGTTGGGCTTGATCGGAAGATCCTGAGATAGTATATTTTTTCTCAATGTTGTCATTTACAGCAACCAGTGTAGCCGTGGAAACATCTCTACCCGTATCTTCTCCCCGAGCAAAGGCAACATGTTTTTGCTGGTACAACAACTACCCAGATTCATATCGTACCTACCCCGACCGTGCCGTGAGCGACGCTTTTGACCAATGTTCTCGTTGGGGTTTCGCGATAATGATGTGTTATACAGAGGATGTGTCTTGGACCTTTTATTCCATAGGTAAATTCTTTGAGTGGCATTTAAGTTGTTATGATGAACAACGGGGAGAGTCCTAGGAATATACAACTTCCTTATTATTGATCTGGGCGACGTTTCGCTGTAGCGACGAACTGTGTTAGTGATGGTGTTTGTAGCTACTAATGGTCGCTTATATTAATGATAGCTAACTTGTATATCCACAGAACACTCCCAGTGGTTTGTTCTATAGGTGTGTAAATCACATCATGTAATTTAGATTTTAGCGTAAATGAAAGGCTTTAATGCTTCCTCCATTTCCTTAAAATGAGTGAGTATGCCGGTTATGTCACTACGTGTCTGCTTAAAGTGGGAGGAAATCCCGAGGTAAGATAGGTATCATACGTTTACCAAGTTCATGAAACTCATAATAATATAATTGGCCACTTATATAGCGCTGAACTCCAAGCTGCAGGGAATGCTCTGAGCGTATAAAACATGATATACATTATTGCACCGGATAACCCAAGCTGCCTGTGAGGCGCTGGAAGGTTAATAGTCTCAGGACTTATTCCACCGGGTACCCATTTTCTGCTGGTTGAACAGAGGCGATTTGATCAAACTCACTTGCCTAAGGTGTGACCATATAGGTGCTTCGTTTTGATGCAGGACTGATGTCCTAGAAACTCTCAGGAGTCAAGCTGTCAAACACGGTCACCCATCCAAGAATTCTCCGCGCCCCTCGTTGCTTAACTTCACCTGATTTGTGACCTGCGCTCTATGCACAAGACCACCCACCACCACAAACTCATGTGGTGCCGACAAACCCACAAGCATAACCGGTCGTTCCAGGTTCCGACAATCCTATCATAAAGGTCCAAGGGATGCAACTCTGCACCACCAACTGGGGACTGTTCCACTATACCACCAAAGGAAACTACAGATAGATATTACTTTCATCTGTATTGTTCTCATTTCTTTGTTCCTGTGACGTCACGGGAAAAATTCAACGCGATCGGGAGCCGAAATGCTACGATTTCACTGTTGATTGAAGTAATAAAAGTGATATTCTAATCAATATGCTACATTTATGCTAATTATTTTATTGACAGGGACGTACGTGAGCAGCAGCAGTGTTTATGAGACATCAAGTACACAAGAAGTTCCACTCATCTCTAGCACTCCCCCTGAAGTCCGCTTTACTAGCAGTACCTTTGAGGTGACTTTGACCAGCAGATTAACAAACAAGCCCTTGACCAGCAGTAACCCTGCGGTGTCCTTGACCAGCTGTAACCCTGCGGTGACCTTGAGCAGCAGTACCCCTGAGATAACCTTTATCAGCAGTACCCCAGCGGTTTCCTTGACCAGTAGTTCACTCGAGGTAACCTTGACAAGCAGTACCACTGATTTCCAAACCTACAGAAATGTAACACCTGTAGGCACCAGTTTGGTCCAGTCTTCATCCGTTTCGACAAACTACTCTTCAAGCAAAGCAGCTTATAACTTGTCAGCCTCCTCATCCTCCTTTTCAAGCAGTGACCAGTCCTCATTTGTCCCTTCTGTCTCTTCTTCAAGCTATAATCTTTCCTCTTCACCATCTATTACCGATGTTGAACTGAACATTTCCTCTACCTTCGAACCATCAACACAGTCGTTCCATAGTCTTTCGTCAGTGGTCGCCATGTCCAGCTCAACGCCATCGACTACAGTGGGTACTACGGAGGTTCCAACCACAACGTCGACACCAACAACCACACCGGCGCTAAAACAAAACTGCCAGTGTCGCTGCAAGAGGAATCTCAGTCCTGCAGCTTTATCTGAAGTCATGGACGAAAGGAAGGCGAACTTGACCGTGAATCCCCGAGAAACGGCTGCCTTTCTCCGGAAGAAGACGAGCGCCAAAGACAAACGTCCAACTGCAACCGTGTCCGGGACGACCTGCCTCGCCATCGTTTCCGTCATGTTCTCCTGCATCTTCATCCCGGATATTATTAACGTTGTCTCCTTCTTCACCAAATGCATCAAGAAGTGAGGGTCGTTCCTGATGTGAGGGGAACAGAGGTTAGTGGTAAAAGCGTTTGCTCCCCACGCCGAAGGCCTGGAATCGATTCCCCATGGATACAATGTGTGAAGCCAATTTCTGGTATCCCCCGCCGTGATGTTGGTGGAATATTGCTAAAGCGGCGTAAACCAATACTTACTAATGATGTGAGGTGTTTGAGATGGACAGTAACTATTGCATTTGTGGCTATCTTACATAAGTTTTTGTCTTTTTGTGTCCATGCTCTTGAAGTTGTTGCGTAGAAGTGTATTTTATCATTCTTCTAGGTGTATAATGTTCACTATTAATATTGATACTTTGTTCATAAATGTTTGATTAGCTCTCGTTCCTTAACCACTCATCTGGTTTGTTTGACCTTCACCCGACAGATTGCCGTATTTGGGATGGAGGTATAATTACTGACTAGATCATGTTTTCGAAGTACAAAATCTGTAAGGTGTTAATAGTTCATCGTCCCTGATTATTTAATTGTATTTACCGATCATTGTTATATCCGACATTCACAATAGTAGACTTACACTATGCAGTTGTCGAGGGTCCGTGAAAATTGTAATGTTGTAAATCTGATGCACGCTTCTGTAGTAGGCCCATTCCACAGTGACATCCATTTGGCTTTGTGTGTATTGTCTTTTAGAGAAGGTGGTAGACATGATAATGGAATACATATAATAAATGACACATTCCACAGTAGATGTCCCAAAGTACTAGGCATATTTTTAACCCATGGATCGGATGAGCTTTCATTTAAACACATTTTCGTGGTGGTGGTGGAATTGGGTTAAACGTCGTGCTTGAGAATATTTCGCTCATATGACGACGTGCATGCGTGTGTATGTGTATGTGCGGCTGCTTGTACTAGCCCAGACTTAAGCTGGTTTTATAGTGCTAGCCCACTGAGATACTATGCCGCAGTGAAGCATGAATACCCCACCCAGACACATTATACTGACTCCGAGCCGACCAGTCCTTGTTGTACCCATTAATGCCGAGCGCCAGGCAGGGACCAACAAGTACCATATTTTAACGTCTTTTGGTATGACGCGGTCGGGGATCGAACCCGCGACCTTCCGCACTCCGGGCGGACGCTCTAACCAATATACCACGGAGGTGGTCCTCAAATACATTTTCAGTTTCCTTAGAAGTATGCACCAATAGGGCTGGCTAAAACGATTGATAATCGGAAATATCGTCGATAGGAAGAACTCGATGTGAAATTAGTGTCGTTGATAACATCGATGCATAAACATTTGTGATAGACTAAAATTTTAATTTACTAACACAATACACTAGGTTAGTTTTTTCCTAATCAGGGGCTGAATTATTTTCAGGGCGCCGTTTTGTTAGATGTAACTCATGCATAAACATGACACTGCTCACCAGTGGTTTGAAATATATAGAAAATCTCACCCAAATGTCTACTGATGCCGCCTTGTCTGGTATGGTGGTATCAGTAGACACGAGGGTGAGATTCTATTTATCATCAAAAATCACTCTTCATTAGTTTTCACTGAAAACTATACATCTCTTAACACTGAACTATCATTAGACTTGCAGTGCAGCGATGTCATAGCATTGTGACGTCATCAAGTCCATGACGTCACAGCATTGTCGGGATTGTACGAAATCTGCTGTCAAAACGATATCTCCTAGGAGATATCGTATGATCTCACACAAGCAATATCTCCTGTGGAACACAGTTTTGGATGATAAATTCATTTCTTTCAGACATGTTTTAGTATTTTTGCTCGTAGATACTTCTCCAATATTTATCGATAATCGATCAATACTTAGTTAACGATTATCGATCCCTATGATCTATAACGATAGCCAGTCAACACCTATCATCCGTCCTGGTACGTACATACTGCGTATCTAATTGTGTCATAACAATACGGGGTAAAATGTGTTGAGCTGATTTTGGTCCAGCGAAAAGATGTCGTGGATCACGTTAGATATTGTAAAAAGCCGTCAAATAACGTTATTAAATGATATTTATATATTTTATACACGTCACTGTTAGGTACACAAGCGATATTTATGGTCTTTATGTCGTGTCGTGTTCGTGTTACTTTACGTTAATAAAGTGTTTTGAGTTGTTACTTTTGATCTTACATCGTTCATATATCTAGTTTCACACAATGGTATTTCACTTGGGGGCGATATCTGGCAGGGACTATGTGATTTTTGTTAAATGAACAAGTTATTTTTCTGCTGTATATTCTATACTTACTGCGCATCAATTGAGGACGTGTAACGCTCGGCGAACAATTTAATTTTGGTACTGAGCACAAATAATAATATTGAAAAACCCACCTTAATGCCTTCCATTATTAGCACATATAGGCCACACAGCGACATATAGGGGTACATATAGGCCACACAGCGACATATAGGGGTACATATAGGCCACACAGCGACATATAGGGGTACATATAGGCCACACAGCGACATATAGGGGTACACATAGTCCACACAGCGACATATAGGGGTACATATAGGCCACACAGCGACATATAGGGGTACATATAGGCCAAACAGCGACATATAGAGGTACATAAAGGCCACCGACATATAGGGGTACATATAGGGGTACATATAGGCCACACAGCGACATATAGGGGTATATATAGGCCACACAGCGACATATAGGGGTTCATATACGGGTACATATAGTCCAAACATCGACATATAGGGGTACATATAGGCCGCACAGCGACATATAGGGGTACATATAGGCCACACAGCGACATATAGGGGGTACATGTATTCCACACAGCGACGTAGAGGGGTACATAAATATAGTCCACACAGCGACATATAGGGGGTACATATAGTCCACACAGCGACGTATAGGGGTACATATACTCCACACAGCGACAGATAGGGCTACATATAGTCCACACAGCGACATATAGGGGTACATATACGCCACACAGCGACATATAGGGGTACAAATGGGGGTACATATAGTCCACACATCGATATATAGAGGTACGTATAGGGGTACGTATATGGATACATATAGTCCACATAGCGACATATAAGGGTACATATAGTCCATACGTCGACATATAGGGGTACATATAGTCCACACAGCGACATATAGGGGTACATATAGGTCACATAGCGACATAGCGACATATAGGGGCGACATAGAGGGGTCCACCACAGCGACGACATAGAGGGTATATATAGTCCACATAGCGACATATAGGGGTACATATAGTCCACACAGCGACATATAGGGGTACATATTGTTCATACGTCGACATATAGGGGTACATATAGTCCATACGTCAACATATAGAAGAATACATATATAGGCCACACAGCGACATATAGAGGTACATACAGGCCACACAGCGACATATAGGGGTACAAAGAGTCCACACAGCGACATATAGGGAGTACATATAGGCCACACAGCGACATATAGGGGTACATATAGGCCACACAGCGACATATAGAGGTACATAAAGGCCACCGACATATAGGGTACATATAGGGAGTACATTAGCCACACAGCGACATATAGGGTATATATAGGCCACACAGCGACATATAGGGGTACATATACGGGTACATATAGTCCACACAGCGACATATAGGGGTACATATTGGCCACACAGCGACATATAGGTGTACATATAGGCCACAGCGACATATAGGGGTACATATAGTCCACACAGCGACAAATAGGAGTACATATAGGGGTACATATAGTCCACATAGCGACATATAGGGGTACATATTGTTCATACGTCGACATATAGGGGTACATATAGTCCATACGTCAACATATAGGGGTACATATAGGCCACACAGCGACATATAGAGGTACATACAGGCCACACAGCGACATATAGGGGTACAAAGAGTCCACACAGCGACATATAGGGGTACATATAGGCCACACAGCGACATATAGGGGTACATATAGGCCACACAGCGACATATAGAGGTACATAAAGGCCACCGACATATAGGGGTACATATAGGGGTACATTAGCCACACAGCGACATATAGGGGTATATATAGGCCACACAGCGACATATAGGGGTACATATACGGGTACATATAGTCCACACAGCGACATATAGGGGTACATATTGGCCACACAGCGACATATAGGTGTACATATAGGCCACACAGCGACATATAGGGGTACATATAGTCCACACAGCGACACATAGGAGTACATATAGGGGTACATATAGTCCACATAGCGACATATAGGGGTACATATTGTTCATACGTCGACATATAGGGGTACATATAGTCCATACGTCAACATATAGGGGTACATATAGGCCACACAGCGACATATAGAGGTACATACAGGCCACACAGCGACATATAGGGGTACAAAGAGTCCACACAGCGACATATAGGGGTACATATAGGCCACACAGCGACATATAGGGGTACATATAGGCCACACAGCGACATATAGAGGTACATAAAGGCCACCGACATATAGGGGTACATATAGGGGTACATTAGCCACACAGCGACATATAGGGGTATATATAGGCCACACAGCGACATATAGGGGAATTTTACATATACGGGTACATATAGTCCACACAGCGACATATAGGGGTACATATTGGCCACAGAGCGACATATAGGGGTACATATAGGCCAAACAGCGACATATAGGGGTACATATAGGGGTACATATAAGGGTACATATAGTCCAAACATCGACATATAGGGGTACATGTAGTCCACACAGCGACGTAGAGGGGTACATAAATATAGTCCACACAGCGACATATAGGGGTACATATAGGGGTACATATAGTCCAAACGTCGACATATAGGGGTACATAGAGGGGTACATATAGGCCACACAGAGACATATAGGGGTACATATAGGCCGCACGGCGACATATAGGGGAATACATTAAGGCCACACAACGACATATAGGGGTACATATAGTCCATACAGCGACGTATAGGGGTACATATAGTCCACACAGCGACAGATAGGGCTACATATAGTCCACACATCGACATATAGGGGTACATATACGCCACACAGCGACATATAGGGGTACAAATGGGGGTACATATAGTCCACACATCGATATATAGAGGTACGTATAGGGGTACGTATAGGGATACATATAGTCCACATAGCGACATATAAGGGTACATATAGTCCATACGTCGACATATAGGGGTACATATAGTCCACACAGCGACATATAGGGGTACATATAGGCCACATAGCGACATATAGGGGTACATATAGTCCACACAGCGACATATAGGGGTGCATATAGTCCACACAGCGACATATAGGGGTACATATAGGTCACATAGCGACAAATAGGAGTACATATAGGGGTACATATAGTCCACACAGCGACATTATAGGGGTACATATAATCTATACATCGACATATAGGGGTACATATAGGCCACACATCGACATAGAGGGGTACATATAGTCCACACAGCGACATATTGGGGTACATATAGTCCACACATCGACATATAGGTGTACATATAGTCCACACATCGACATATAGGGGTACATATAGTCCATACATCGACGTATAGGTGTACATATAGTCCACACATCGACATATAGTGGTACATATAGTCCATACATCGACGTATAGGGGTACATATAGTCCACACAGCGACATATAGGGGTACATATAGTCCATACATCGACATATAGGGGTACATATAGTCCATACATCGACATATAGGGGTTTTATATAGTCCATACATCGA